AGCTTGTATATTCTTTTTCAAGTGCAAATTATAGAAAAAATAAAGAGAATGTGATTGGCGAAGATAAGTACTATAAAAGAAAAAATATAAAGATTTATTAATAAAATAAAATAATAAAAATATTTATTCGAAATTTAAAAAAATATATTACTATTTTTTTAATTATTTTTTTCAAATTTTGTAAGAATTTTTGAAATAATTTTTTTATAAACAATGAGTTTTATTTTGGTGTACGGAACCCTCGATCTTAATGCGAGTGAAACTCGCACTTGTTTTTAAAAATTTTATTAACATTCGTTGAAAGAATTCAATGTTAAGAAATATTCAATTATTCAGTAAATTAATTATTTTTCACTTTAAATAATTCAATTCTCGTAGAATTTACTAGTTAAAATTTATTTAAAAATAAATTTCTGTTAAAGTTTTAGTTAATAATTAAATATTAAAAGCATCGCATGAATTTTTAGAAATAATTGAATTTTCAAAATTATTCCAAGTTTTTATATTCTAATATAGGGTCAGATGGGGTAAATAGAAACAAGGGGTAAATCGAAACAGTAGTTATTTTAGATAAATCAAAAATTTTAAAAATAAATACGGCCTTACATCTTGAAGCTTATATCATCCCCAACAAGTTCTAAGTATTTTCCCATTTTCCGTTTGTCAATTAGCAGCAGTATATATCAAAATATTTCCTATTGCATAACAGATTGAAAATCAAAGAAGACACCCTTTCACTTTTTTGACTCGCATTTGGAAAAAAATAAAGTAAAAATTCATACTAAAATTTATAAATATCTCTTATTAATACTACAACAAAAATCAACTTTGAATTTTTCATTTTGCAAACTTTATTAAAAAATAGGAGACTATTTCTATTTACCCCTAAAAACTGGAAATTCGGGCCTTTCTACTTTCGTCAGTACTGGCGCGGTACTGGATTTGTTCCGCCTGCAGATTTCATTCTTCTACGCGCGTCGGAAGAATGACGGATGTTAGGTCTGTACTGGCTCGGTGCTGGGGCGGATCCGACTGCGGATCTCGTCATTTATTGTTATAGTTCACATTATCAGTATAATCATAAATTTATTTTATTATTATAATTAATTATTACAATAACTAATTGCAATTATTATAATATTATTATTAGTTAACCAATAAATAAATTAATAGTATTCATGCAAAGGAAGAATATAAGAAACTTAATTTTTTCATTATATATATAAAAATCCAACTTTATTAATGTGCAATTAAATAAATAATTTTTAATAAATAATATATTAATTTGAAAGAAGTAAAATATATTTAACTTGAAAGAAAATGTGATCAATATATTATAATGCCTACAATAAATAACATATTAAATACAATATATAAAAAAGAGATTATTATTAATTAATTTATTATTAATTAATTAATAATCTCTTTTTAATTTAAACAATATATTAAGTAATTATTTATTGACACTTTTCTGCAAATTAAATAATTAAAAAAATGTGTTGTGCATTAAAATTTTATTCAATTTAATACTATTACTTATATGTTATAAATTGTTTTGCAGTGAAGTTATGTTCATATTATTCGATATATTATGTAATAAAATATTAAAAAACATAATAATAAAAATAACATTTTTTTTAAACGAAATATTGAAATATTCATAAATACACATTCAGTAAAGTATTGAAAATATACCGGTATTACATCAGTTCGTATTTCCAAATTGCCTATTGCCGCGTAGTATTTTTACAATTTTTATTTTAGCTAGTGAGACTTGAAAGCATTTAAGGTTTGAGAGTTCCATGCGAGCGTAGCATAGTGGTTAGCGTGCGAGATTTCGGTGCGTAAATATTCGGTTAGGCGTAGGTTCGTACCCCCAAGCGTTAGGATTTTTCAAATGTGTATGTAATAAAAAATTGCGTTTAAGTGTATAAAGAAATAAAAAAATGTGTAAAGTGAACTGTCAATGAATTGTCATCCGTATTTATCTTTTGCAATTAATTATTATTTTTTATTGATATTTGTTGAAATTATCATTTGGATCCGACCCGGTTGTCAGTCGGTAGAATGCCAGCATTGCCAGCGCACATCTGGCTAGAAAATGAAAGATCCGCAGTCGGTACAGTGCCGGGTCCCAGCCGGTTGAATTATACACGGAACGGCTCTTCGCGGCCGGTTACCGGGCGGTAGAATGCCAGTTCCGGGACGGATGGCCAGCCAGCTCCTGGCCAAGTCATCTTTTGGTAGAATACCAGTTCTCGAGCGGTAGGCAGGCGGTTCCCAGCCAGTACCACTACTCCGGCGTCGGTACAGGCGAGGATCCGCGCCGGTTGCAAATTTCCCACTGGGTACACAAAAAAACCGAAAGTACCCAGGCGGAAATTTCCAACCGGCGCGGATCCTAGCCCGTACTGACGCCGATGTAACTGTACTGGCTGGGAACCGCCTGCCAACCGAATGTGAACGGGCATTCTACCGAATAGTGACTAGGCCAGGAGCGCGCTGGCAACCGGCTCGGAACTGGCATTCTACCGCCCGCTGACCGGTCGGGAGAAGCCGTTCCGTGTATAATTCAACCGGCTGGGACCTGGCACTCTACCGACCGTGGATTTTTCATTTAATAGCCAGCCGAGCGCTGCCATTCTACCAACTGACAACCGGATCGGATCCAAATGATAATTTCAACAAATATCAATACAAAAAATAATAATTAATTGCAAAAGATAAATACGGATGACAATTCATTGACAGTTCACTTTACACATTTTTTTATTTCTTTATACACTTAAACGCAATTTTTTATTACATACACATTTGAAAAATCCTAACGCTTGGAGGTACGAACCTACGCCTAACCGAATATTTACGCACCGAAATCTCGCACGCTAACCACTATGCTACGCTCGCATGGGACTCTCAAATCTTAAATACTCTCAAGTGTCACAAGCTGAAATAAAACTTGTCGAATAACTACGCGTCAATGCTACAGCTATATTTTTATTATTATATAATATATTAAATAATTGTATCTCAATATAATAATATTGAACATAATAATATTAATAATTTTAATTAATATCACAATAATAATAAATTTATTACTATTGAGATATTATTAAATAACATTAATATTATTGAGAATTAATAATTAATTATTAACATGGATATTAATATTTATTAATATTTATTAATATTAATAATTTATTATTAATTCTCAATAATATTAATTAATAATATCTCAATAATAATAAATTTATATTAATAGTATAAATTTATTTATAATAATTATAAAGTATAAGTGCACAACAAATTTTTTTAATTGTTTAGTTTTGAAAAAAGTCTCAATAAATAATTACTTAATATTTTGATTAAATTCATTTATTAATTAATCATTATTTTCTAAAATAATGCAATTAATTATTGTAATAATTATTTAGTTATGACACATTTATTGAAAATAAATTTATAATGTGATTTATAATGTGACAATAAATGACGACATCCACAGTCGGATCCGGCCCAGCACCGAGCCAGTACAGACTTAACATATCCGTCATTCTTCCGACGCGGCAGAAGAATAAGATCCGCCGGCGGAAGAAATCCAGTACCGAGCCGGTACTGACAATAGTGGGTAGACGGTTCCGACAGTCGGAGCATAATCTGTACCGCGCCGGTTGCTTTTTCAGATCCGATTCGGTACAGACCGTCGGTACTTGCGGTCTGTACGGGAGCGGATCCCAGCCGGTTGTAAATTCCGACATTCGTCCGACTTTTCCGCCTAGGTATTCCGATTTAAAAGAAAAAACTTATGTTATTGGTCAAACTTAGCAAATCTGTTTCTATTTACCCCAACTGACCCTATATTTAATTGAAGCATTTCCGAATTATTACAATTTAAATTATTTTTAATAAAATTTTAATTGAATTCCTTGACAAAATGTCATTATTTCTAAAAATTTTATTAAAATTCGTTGAAAAAATTCAATTATTTTAAAATTTGTTTATAAAATTGTTTGTAATAAAATTCAATTTTAAGAAACATTCAATTATTTAATAAATTTTTTTTTTGTATTTAAATAATTAAATTTTTGAAGAATTTTCTATTAAATTTGATTTAAAAATGAATTTTTAGTTAATATAACAAAAAATGTTTGCTTTTGTTGTATAGATTATGAAATATAATTTTCCATTCCTTATCAAGAATTCCAATTTTTCCAAATTTCCATAAAGAATATTATTTTGTAAAAATAAATTTTCTTTTTTTTGCATTTTTATATATGAATTTTATATTGAAAGCAATATCTTCCGCGCGAATTACACTTTGGAGACAGATACAAAATAAGAGAGAGAGAGAGAAAAATAAATTTAGATAAATATATTACGGTGTGAGAGAGTGGATTTTAAAATATCGACTCACCATTAAATGTGCGTTTTCACTATATATATACACCACTACTAACCACTGCTGTCTCTACTACTACCATGACCACCAACTCTACTATTATACACTTTGAAAAATTCTTTTAAATCGCGTTATTTTCATCTATTTTTAGAAATGGTCCCAGGCTACGTTTTTGACCTAGTTTTTCCTTTGTTCGGAAAATTTCGATTTAACTCTTCAATCGTTATACGCGAAAAAAACGTCATTCAAAGACCAAATAAAATGTCAATTGCAACTCGTTAGATCTTGTTATCTTTAATTGTCTTACAAAAAAAAATTATTTCAACAGAGACAATTCTACGAGCAATTATTCACAATAATAATAAGGATTAATAATAATAATTTTAAGCAAAAGGGAATCGTGAATCAATTTCTTTTCTGGGAATTAAATATTTTGAAAATATTTTTAAGTATTTTTAATTTAAAAAAAATACCTAATTTAAGATTCAAAGAATATCAATTATCTGTAGACATTTACAAATTTTTAGGAAAAATGAATTCAAATAATTTTCTAAAATGTAATTTTGTATAAATTGACTTGCCAGTATAGATGACTCACTTTTTTCAGCAGTAGCATCACTTCTCCTCCTCCTTTGGACTATCCTTCCAATTAAATCTGCAAAATAAAAACAAAAATCATGTACAAATTTTATAAAAATTTTAATTGAAAAATTAATTAACAACTTAATACTTTTCTTAAATAACACAATTACGAATCAATAATTTCTGTGTATTTATAGCAAACATAATATTATATTTAATTGATAAAATAGAAAATAATTGAAATTAAAATTGACATGATTAAAATAAAAATGAATTTTTAAAAATCTGATCAAAATAAAAATTGTCTGAAATTAAAAATGATTCATTAAGGGTCCCATGTAGATTTCGATGTGGGAATCTGAAAAAAAATATTCTTAATTTAAGAATATATACTATAAAAAAGGTGACAAGAATATTCCATACTTAAATTAAGTGGAAATATTCTTATAATGAGGAATCACCATCTCCTGGAGTCAAGAAACGACGCCATCATTAATGGCGATGAATTTTTCCGAACGTAATTTTAATTCACTACCAAACGATCGTGATTTAAAAAAAAATTTTCGAACACTTACGATAGAGAAAAAAATGACATTCTATAAAAGTACTTACTCCAAAAAGAAAATTCCAATCAAAAATTTATAATGCCACGTGTTTAATATTCACGAGAAGAACATACTTTGAAATGAGAATTTATTTTCAAACTGCGTACTATAGAAATTATAAACTTTGGAGAATTAAAATTCATCAATTCATCGACCACGTGGTTTGAAAATTTTCACACTCGCGTCGTTTATTTTAGAGAGTTTCCTCGTTTATTCACGAACACTTTGTCGATAAAATTTAATTTTAAATATATAAACTTGGAATGAATTATTAATTAAGTCCACGTATAGTTGAAAAAGTTAAACAATTTACTTTTCTTAAGACACGAGAGAGAGAGAGAGAGAGAGAGAGAGAGTCCTGACTTGCGGAGCAGACAGGAATGATGACGCGCACACGATTATCAAGTCATGCCCGTCATGGCAATTCTCAAAGTTTTTGAAACACGAAAATGAAAAGAAAATTAGAATATTTCAATCAAAAATGTTTTTTGTACATCGAAAAATGAGTAAAATTTACTTTAGCTGATATACTTGGCGACGACAATGGAAAAGATGCGCGCGTATCAGTGAGAGGAATTTTCTCCCATTTCGACAATTGTTTTTTACTTTGATATTTTCTTTCAATCGGAAAAGTATAGGAAAAAGGCTAGTTCGGTGTGTAAAATACAGTAAATGTTGGAATTTAGTATTCGCCTGTAACACTCGACAAAATGTGACAAAGAAAGTGAGGTTAGGTTTCGCACTTTCGTGTCAAAAATCGAACACCTGAGGAATTTCCCACCAATTTTTTACGAGTGTCTTCTAAACCTATTTGTTACGTTATCAACAATGTTTAAGTCTCACTGTGAACTTTTAGCATTTTACATACGGAATTTGTTGTTGAAAAAATGATAATCGACGCGAACCACGCGAACAGACCGTATCATAAATGCTCCGCGCGCACTGTCGGTAAAGTAGTTTCTATTAATTTCTTCCGGTTCGCATTAAGTCTGATTCACACTTCTGAATTGTCCAAAATTGAAAAGTTGTCCAGCTGGTGCATAGAAAAATTTAATTTACTATCATTAATATGATTAATATTAATTTAATGGTATTTATTTGTATATAATATTGGCAGTAGAGCTGTTCAAGTACCTTTTAATATGTAGCATTTGTGGCAAATGTTTGTTTACAAAATTTACAGAAAAATTTTTTTTTTTTTTTTTATTTTTGTATTCAATGTTTTTAAAAAATTTCCATTTTACACTCTTTGTTTTTGTTATTTTTTAAATCTTTAAATATATAGCCACTATAATAAACAAAATAACTACTAAATAAAAACACAACGTCGGACCGCATTTACCACAGTAAATAGAAATTAGTAAAAAAAACTTTTATGTATATTTTCAATAGTTAATCCAAAAACGATTGGAGTAAAAATAATAATTGGATAAATAGGAAATATTTATTTAAAACGAAGATAATTTCTCAAATGGTAGAAAAAGAAAAACACAGATACGTGTATATACAGAGGTCACTTGCTTACCTTATCCTATGTATCTTCTCTGGGAATATGACCTGCATATTAAATTACTGTACCAAAAGAGGAGAATCAACCATTCCCAAAGCAACGGTCGTGCATTTCATTCTGACAAATATCTTATCTTTCCTCTAAAGCTGCGCGACAGTTATTATTCAAGAGGAACTTTTCCCTATAGAAAAAAAGAATAAAACTTCTTTCTTCACGGAGAAAAAGGAATAGTTGACACATCCAGATACATGGATATCACAGCCATATTATATTGAAAAATACGGGACATCCATAGTTAAGGTTGCTGCATCCATATTCTATGGCTGGCTGTATATTGTTGGAGCAGCAAAAGATCTATGGTTGGGTGATCCATAGTAATGGAAATGGGAAACAAAAAAATTTGAATCACTCAATTAATTAAATTCCATGTCACTTGAGATATTTTATACACATTTTTGTTAATTAATACACACCACTTATTGAATAACCGCATATTTACGAAATAAATTATTAACCGATGGGGGAGACACGAACCCTAGACCTAACGCATACTAAACACTAACGCTATTTACTACACTATACACGCAACTACAATATTTGAGCATATAATATTCCTTATATACTCTACACATATTTCATGAAAATGAATTTACATAAACAGCAATAGACAATAACAATAATAAATAATAAACAATTATAACACTATTTATACACAATAAACTCACAACGTGATTATATAGACGTGACAGGAAACCGACGCGACGGACAAATTGAGACGACCATTTTTAAATGGATGCCATGATAATGAATTGAGCGCAACATGTATCGAAATTTTGAACTAACTATGGATCTCCCAACCAAAGTTTATATGGATGAGGCAGCCATATGTGAAAATCCATAGCATGAATTGTAAGCCCAACCATGCCTATGGATGTCAAATCCATATTTGATTCAACAATATAATATGGCTCCCTCATCCATTGAATATGGAATGTGCTTAAATTCTGAAAGTTGTCTCTTCCATTGAATTGGATAACACAACAATATTCTGCTCAACAATATTTTTATGGATATCTCTTTCAGACCTTTTCTTTACGTGTTCTCTTCATATTGCGAAAATTCTAGTATTTTTTTTTGCCGAAATATTTATAAAAAAGATATTTTGTAAAAAAACGATATTTATAAACCAAAACGCGCGTACGGATTATTTTCCTTTTTTTTTGCCGCCACAACGATTTAGTTAAAACAATGTCATTCTAATTGAGTATTGAAATGGATCTGTCAGAATAAAATTTAATGGAAAAAGAGATATCAGGCATAAAGTTTCGAAAGCATATTTTACATTTCAATACATCAATCTAAATCAAACATGTATTTGTATTGTAAATTTTATCGAACGCGAGGCAAAATATATGACGTCGGAAGATTACTCGGTCATTCAGAGGAGTATTTTTTTTTAACCAATAAACACAAAAAGTTCTTTTTTTTCTGTCGTTACAGAGAACGAAATTACAGACTCTTTTCTAGCAAAGAGCCATTTCTCTCTCTCTCTCTCTCTCTCTCTCTCTCTCTCTCTCTCTCTCTCTCTCTCTCTCTCTCTCTCTCTCCTATATAGAATATTAAATATTTATCCTTTCCTTTTTCTCTCCCGATATTAAAGTGCAATGCTAATATACGAATTCAGGAACTTGTTCCATATCTAGAAATCTGTTTTCTAATATATAAAGTTGATATGTGATATAATATACTTTTTTTCTATATATTTCCTTCATCGTCATTGTTATGGAAAAGCCTTCGAGAAATGTTTGAATCGATGTGTAATTTCTTTCTTTTTTTTGCTCGTCGCTCTTCGCTTCTTGAAGCGAGAGAAACTGAGATCCACTTTTACATGAGTGGATAATACAATGTAGATTAATTAAAAGTTGCTTCGGTGCTTTATAACGTTTACTCTCTACTATATATGTGTATATACGTACGGCTACATTGTGTAATACAATAAAAATCCCCTCGAAATGGTTTGCTTAAAACACCATAAAAAAATCTATTTTTCTTCATACTCAATTTTCTCCTTTATTATTTACTTTTTATATCAATACCCATGAATCGTGAAATTACTTTGACACTCAATATTAATTGCGCTGTAAAAATCTTGAAATTGATATTGAGAAATACTAAAGTTTTAATGTTTTGTTCATTAAAGACAATTGTTTGTATAATCGAATATTAAACGAACAACGAACATAATATAATGTATTTTTAGGTTATGTTGTAAAATGTCAAAATGTGTTTTACAACAACAGTGCTATCAACCATATGCCAATTAATACCAACTTAAATAAAAGCGGTAAATTTAAAAACCAAAATAAGTTATATTAATTAAGTTATATTTGTCATTTACATGACAAAAATCGTTTTAAAATATTTGTTTATTAAATAAATAAACAATTGTTCTTATTTTTTATAACAAAAAATTATATTTTTACTGTTTTCTATACAAAATCGAAAAAAAATTGTCAACAGATTTAAATTTAAAACTTGAATGAAACAAAAATAATAATAAATAAGAATAATAAAATAATAATAAGTAATATAATAATATGTAAAGAATAATAGATAATAATATAGTAATAATTAAAATATCGTCTTAACATTACAAATTTAAATCTAGAATGAAAATATCGAAAAAATATATTTTTATTATTTTTTGTGTACAAAATAAAAAATCGAACTAATAAATATTTGAATAAACAAAAATATAAATAAATATGTAATTATAAACAAAATAAAAAAGAGCCGGGAAAAATTATATTTTATTCTAGATTTTGAGCAGAAAACTGTCCAGTTACTGGTCAGTTACTTGCCAGTCACTGGCCAGATAATCTAACCAGTGACAAGTCATTGTAGAGTTGAAATTTCTACCTGGGTACTTCCTCTATGAGGAAGCAATAATAAATAAAAATAAAGTTGAATTAAAATATTGTCTTAAATTTACAATTTAAAAAATAATTTTGCGGAATAGAAATAGTGAAAAATTATATTTTTACTCTTTTTTATACACAAAATAAAAAAAAATCTGACTAAAAATAAATGTAAAAATTGAATTAATAAAAAAAATACAAAAATAAATAAAATAATAAATAAAATATCGTCTTAATTAAAAATTTTAAATTATTAATAATCTTACTTCTATTTTTACATTTTTCCTAAATTTAATTTTTACTTTCACCACTTTTTATTTAATTTACATCTTTTTTTCAATTTTTTTACATTCCTCTTTATATTTCCCCTTTTTTCTATTATACTTTTATTTGTTTTTTTACTTTATTCATCGTTCATTTCGCTAACATTCTTCTTCGCCTTGTTCCACTTTTACATTTCCTTTATTTTTATTTTCCCTTTTCTACAACCTCTATTTAAACCTAAAAATCGTCGAGAAGAAACCATCATCAACAGACTTAGAATTGGACACACAAACTTTAGTCATCTACACTTAATCACCAAGGAACAACCAAATAAGTGTTCAAGATGCAACTCCCTACTTACAGTTCAACACATCTTAGTAGACTGTAACAACTACAGAAGTGAAAGAAACATTATAAATTTACCAGTGCAATTAAGAAACATACTTAATACACCTGACG